GTAGGTTTGTGTTTATAGCTAATGTGTTTGCAGCCACTTACATGTAAATATTCAAATGTAGGTAGAGTAAAAGGAATAGCAACTCCATTTCAAGCACATTTTCCCATCAGTGAAAGACTGATCTGCTGAGAAGCTGTAAGATTCTTCTCAGAACAATGAAAAAAAAATGATCCATTTCCTAACATACTTTACTTGGAATTCTATATTTTTAAAGTCACGAAATGCTTGAATTTAGGAAGTTCCCTAAATTATATTTTCTGTGTCTCAAATAAAAGGAAAAACAGATACTATAATGATTATTACAGTAACAGTCTTTAAACATGTATTTTTTAATTCCAGATAGGGGGGCTGATTGTCATGTCCCATGGAGTTTTTGAGACTAGGCCTGCTCTGTTCAGTAAGCAAATATTTGAGGGTGAGGAAATGTGTGTGCTGCTCCCTAAAAGTTAACAGTAAAAGCTTATATGTAAATACATAGTTCTTTATTGGGGTGTGTGTGTGTGTGTGTGTGTGAGAGAGAGAGAGAGAGAGAAAGAGGCGGGAGGGGGGAGAGAGAGAGGAAGAGAGAAAGATGAAAGGATGGAAGGAGGCAGAGGGAGGAGAGAAAGGGAATGAAAGAAAAAAGTACCATGGAAATGTATTTAATTTCAAATGGCTCCTTGTTACAAATGCCTGGTTGACCTTATAAATCTAAATAAGTCAATATTTTGAATAGGAACTACACGGTTCACTAAAGTATGGAACTCCGAAGGCACTGTACTCAGAAGGCAGCACCTGCCATACTTTAATTGGAGTTATTCCTGGCTGATTTGCCTCCACATTGGGGAAAACAGGAAAGAACACTTTCCTCTTGCCATTAGCTCTAGGCCCTTCTTTCTGACTTATGAAGAAATATTAAAAGAACTAATATGTACAACTTGGGTAAACAGTGACTACGAAGGGATATGCTAATTATGTGCAAGAGTTTAAAAGGTGCGTACACTGAGGAGGATGAGAAGTTATTTAGCCTGGTAGTTGAATATTGCCAGGAGACACGAAAACACATTAAGCAAAGGGAGATTTAAACTAAACACTAGATCCCAGAATAAATATAACACTCAGTGATGTGAGCAGGCTTGTGGAAATTGGTTGAGACGTTTAAAATACCAAAATACTGAAATTTGCATTTCAAATAAAAATTTATGTAAGGGCAAAAAATAATAGGAACAAGAGAAAGACCCAAATTGTAGCCATAGAACTCGTCTACCAGAGAACTTAAACAATAGGTTTTCTGTCTGTTTCTGGCCTGAGGGTCTTTTTAAGGTTGAGAGAATAAAAGACAATGTTGGCAAGACCCTTGGGTTGAGAGCAACCGGTCAAAGAGAACTAAAAGAAGTGGAGAAAGTTGCCCTTTGGGGACAGGCACACAGGGGCAAAGGGAAAGAAAGGAACAGGAGAATCTGAGCGCATTTTGGAATTTTGTGACTCAAGACTCAGGTGGTATACTCCATACCTTAAAACGAGAAATGGCACTTGCTAAGACTGTATCATGCCTGTGTCCACAGGGAGCTCTGCTGGTTTCCGAAACAATAACTCCCCATGACAGACAGTTCCTTGGGACATGACCAGAGATGCCCCTGTGCGGTCCTTCAACAACAGAGTATTCAGCACACCCTTTCTTCCCCAGTATAACAGAACTCTATTAGGATCACCAAAAGGCGGTGAAGTTTTATGCCAACTTCTCTTACAGAAATACTTAGTCACTTTTCAATACCTGGCTCTATTCTCTTAAACTACATGAAGTGTTGGCAATAACTCTAATATCTCTTTGAGTTTCTTAATTCAGTCCAGCTTTATCTCAGTCCATTCATGTTACGGTAACAAAAATATCATAGACTGGGTAGCTTATAAACAACAGAAATGTATTTCTCACAGTTTTGGAGCTTGGGAAGTCCAAGATCAAGGTGCCAGTAAATTTAGTGTCGGATGAGGGCCCACTTCCTGACTCAGAGACAGCTGTCTTTTGTGTCCTGACATTGCAGAAGAGGCAAAGGAACTCTCTGGAGTTTCTTTCTTTTTTTGAGAAGGAGTCTTGCTCCGCTGTCCAGGCTGGAATAAGTGGCTCAATCTCAGCTCACTGCAACCTCTGCCTCCCAGGTTCAAGCAATTCTCCTGCCTCAGCCTCCCAAGTAGCATGCCACCATGCCCAGCTAATTTTTTGGTAATTTTAGTAGAAATGAGGTTTCACCATGTTGGCCAGGCTGGTTTCAAACTCTTCGCTTCAAGTGATCCGCCCGCCTTGGCCTCCCAAAGTGCTAGGATTACAGGTGTAACCTACCATGCCTGACCTGGAGTTTCTTTTATAAGGGCACTAATTCCATTCATAAAGTCTCCATCTTCATGATGTAATCACCTGCAAAGACTCCACTACCAAATACCATTATCACTTTGGGAATTAAGTTTCAACATATAAATTTTGGAGAAACACAAGCATTGGGTCTGTAGCAAGCTAACTCAACAAACATTTACTGAGTGACTAATGTTTATTGAGAGCCAAACCCTGTGCTAGTTCATGAGGATATTAAGAGTAAGGCATGGCAGCTGTGTGGCTCATAATCTGAAGCTTTGGCTCTCCAGCAACAGAAAAGCCCCCATGTCCTGTTAGATTTCTGTGAATTGGTCGGAAATTCTCAAGTGAAGCAGTAGAGATAATGCATTGTGGGAAAAGTCTCCTGGGTGTTACTAGAACAGACTAGTCAGGAAGGGCCCAGGGAATGCAAGCGTTTCAACTGGAGGATCCAGGGGACAGGTAAAAGAAGCATGACAACAGGGAGGGCCCAGGGGTGTCTCTCAATGTTTTAAAATCAGTTTGTGTCCTAAGAGTCTTAAGGTTGAGCAAATAAAAGGAAACACTGACAGGAAGGACCCTTGGGTTGAGAGCAGCCTGTCAGAACTGAAGGAACTGAAGAAGAGTTGCCCTCATGGGGACAGACACACTGGGGCAAAGGAAAGAAAGGAACAGGAGAATTGTTGGATGAGATTGGTTGGATGATGGAATACAGCGTAGCTTCCCCTGCCTGTAATTGGTTTGCACCTTGAGCCTGTCCCCACTCTATTGAGACAGCTACTCACATCGTGCGCTGGAGACAGAGGTTGCTATCAGAGAGGAGAAGCAGAAATGATGTCTCCACCTCCCATGTGGGTCACTTAAGAGAAAACTCTTATCCTCAGGTAGTTTAGGGGTAAATTCTAGAAACATGAGATCAAAAGTTTATCTGATAAGGATCTGTATTATTATCTGTTTATCAGGAACAAATGAGATTGTCAATACTTACAATGGTATGTTAGAATGCCAGGCCCCAAATACAATAAATATTGTTTTATTTTCTCTCATTCATCTTATTATTTACTTTCATGCTTTCATGGGTACAATCTTCCAGAATTGGTAGGGCTTTAGTTGGTACAGCTAAAAATAATCTCTCTCCTGCAACTTTATTTTTTTTTAAGAAATTCATAAAGCAGGGTAGGGACCCATAATCCACCATTTCTAGGTATTTCATGGGAATTGGAAAGAATTCAGTGTTGCCAACCATCTGTAAGATTATCCTTGTTCTCTCCTACTGACAACTCTGTCAGCCCAACTAAGCCTAACTAAGATTAAGTGTTATAGGTGGGAATGTTCAGGAAGGTAAGAAATCCTAAAACATCCTGAAATTATTATTAACTATTTTCTCATTATAATCTACCATTATTCTCAAAATAAATAATGCTATCTTACTTTCTACTTTACCTCTGCATTCCAGGTTTTTAATGAGCTTATACCTATTTCTGCCTGTTAAATAAACTAATTGTCGAAGTTGCCATTAGTCTTCAGGGTATTTATGTTCAGCTAGAAGTCTTAGCATCAAATAGTTGGCATGACACTTAGTCCATAGATACAATATACAGGAAAGATTTTTTCCCCCTTCAATCCCAAATCCTACCCCATTAATCCAAAACAGTGGCCAGTTACCTATTCTGAGAGTACTGTTTTCTTCCCTACTACATTCCACTTCGGTAACATGTAAAATCAGATCTAAGCACTGGTTTTAATGTTAGGAAGGGAGAAGAGACAAATGTAGACAGGGAAAAATTAACCTCTTATAAGTAATATTCAACTATATGCTATAGACTAACTCTAAAATGTTCTCAGTAGAAGCATGTGCTGGATAGTGTGCAGAACATCGGAACCAAATAATGTGATATTACTCTTGCCTGTTTTTTGTCAAGATTGTAAAGTTTCCTCAAAACTAGTGATATTGACAATTGAGAGAAGACTTGAAGCTTGGAATATCCCATAGAGTTGTGTAGTAGAATGTTAGCAAAGAAGCCCTGTGTTCTGTTGGAGCCTAGTTAACAGGTTTAGATGACATGTTTAGACAGTAAATTTGTCTTCTTGCTAGCTGTCTGTTGATTTGGTCATAGGGGAATTTCCAAAAAAGGAAAACAGCTTATGGCATTTGAGCAGAGCTAATAACCGGTACCATTTAGTGTAGGATGACCAGGAGCAAGATCCCATCATGGTTTCATGATTTGCATGTACCTACAACCAGCGCCCACTTTGTTCCAAACCCTTAACCCTTAACTGGTGAGTACAGACACCTATAAACACCCCAGATCCCAGCCTCATATCAGAATAATTTTGAAGGGGGACATAGCTGTCCCCAGGCCTCCCTGAAAGACTGACTCACAGTTCCTCTCTGTGGGACTTAGCCTGGCATTGTACTCTTGCTTGGCTTCTTTCTCATCCAAGTCTCATTTTCCCATTTTCTTTCTGTTTTTTACTGAGAGCATTTTCTACTCAATCACTTTCACAAGACTTTTTGTCTTGAGGTCTGCTTCTGTGGAATCTGATGTCAGACAAAGTACATTTTCAAATCACTGAAAGACATGTGAATTCACTGCTTTTAAAAAGAATAATGAGAAGATCTGCTGCCTATTTCAGACTTGAAAAAAGAATCATGAAAACCTCTGTTTTTCAGGAAGGGAATTTGAAGGAGAAGAAGAATATCTGGAGATCCTCGGCATCACCAGGGAGCAGTCAGGCAAATATGAGTGCAAAGCTGCCAACGAGGTCTCCTCGGCGGATGTCAAACAAGTCAAGGTCACTGTGAACTGTGAGTACAGCAGGACCCAGCAGGTGCTAGGTGCCCAGGGTGCACCTCGACCTCCACTGAGCTCTAAAGATTCCATTAGCAAAAGAGCATTGTATTTCGAGCAGATGCTCCTCTGGCCAGGAATGTACATTTATACATTGAACACATCCAAGGGCAGGACTTGGCCATTGAATTTGATAAATCAAGTCTATCAACTCTAAATATAATCCATAATACATTTAACAATACCCTCTCTCTTTTAATCAGACTAAAGAATTAAGAAAACACGATCAGACAGCACTAACATTGCTGGCGGTTGCTATTCTGCTCTCGTGGAAATCAAGGTCATACTACTTTAGAAAAAAACAACAATTTGTATCTGGTTTAATGGGAATTTCCATCTTAAATGCATTGTTTGTCAGGAGGGAATGCCTCAGGATTATATTTTGTCCTCCACTATTTAAATAATTGGCCTTGGGAACATATTAGAGTCACTGTGGTCAGATACCATGTGTCCCTGATGGCTAACAAGAATGCCTGATAAGTTAATTCCAGTTGCCTATTTGTCCCAAAGTATGGGCATTTAGAAAGGAAGATTTCACTAAGATGCATAGGTAAGTGGGCATACTTTCAACTTCTCGGATGAAAGGATTCTTAGATGTAGTTCAAAAGAGAGTAGGCGGGGGGGAGAATCTATATGATGTGTGTCACCCAGCACGGGAATAAAGAGAATTCGTTTACCCTGTTCAGTTAGCACTGACTCTGTATCACTCAGATTCAAGTTCCCACCTCACACAATTGTGGCTAGTGACAGGGACAAAGGGAAGTTTTCACAGTTCTTCCTTCTGTGTAGAATGTACACACATCCTACATACACACACATAGGCACACACAGACATACACGCACAAACACTTTAACCCATATTTGATACTACACTTGATCTTAGCCAAAAGGTCAAGAAGCTATTTGAAAGTATCCTTTAGGCTGTGAGGAGTACTTTCTGTCATCTCATGTCTTCCTATGTGCCAGAGATTTTATATAAATTCTCTTTTTCTCTACTCAATAACCCCAGTATGGTAGATATCATTCAGTCTATTTCAGAGTTTGAAAAAACCACAGCCCAAGGAGGTAAAACTGCCCATTCAAAGTGACACAGAAAACAACTCTAAGAAAAGGGATTCAGACTCAGGTCCATTTGACTCTAAAGCCCATGCTCTCAGGAGGAAGATAAGGAATTTTCAATTCCACATACCTACTACGTGCATCATTGAGTTAAGGGATATATATTGGCTGGGCATGGTGGCTCACGCCTGTAATCCCAGCAATTTGGGAGACCAAGGCGGATGGATCACCGGAGATCTGGAGTTTGAGACCAGCCTAGCCAAAATGATGAAACCCCATCTTTACTAAAACTACAAAAATTAGCTAGGCATGGTGTCACACGACTGTAATCCCAGCTACTGGGGAGGCTGAGGCAGAAGAATTGCTTGAACCCAGGAGGAGGTTTCAGCAAGCCAGGATTGCACCACTGCACTCCATCATGGGCAACAAGAGCGAAACTCCATCTCAAAAAAAAAAAAAAAAGAAAAAAAAAAAGATTGATATTTGTTGTTTAATCCCCAAAGCCATTTAAACCTATGAGATAAGCATCATTAGTCTTACTTTAGAAATTTGGAAACTGCGGCTTGGATCGCTGAGGAAACTTGCTAAAGTTTATGCAGGCCTGCTGGGATGCACTATTACCTGAGGCCTTGCTGACTTCTAAAACAAGCAGCAAAATCTTTTTCATACCATACCTAAAGGAATCCAATAGATATAAGTGACTCTACTATAGTTTATGGCACTCATTTCCAAGGAGCAGGGGGCTGCATTTCATGAGTTCTGAAGTGCTTCTATTGCTAGCTGTCTTCAAATTTTTTAGTAATAGAGTTTTGAAATGCAAGTTATTACTATTCTTTTATAATGCTGGGTATGTTTCAAAGACACATTAATGATTGCAATGTTATAAAATGCTTTAGGACCTTTTCATCACATGAAAGGCAACTTCTCTGGATGTTTGTATAAGTTTATAATTAGGTTAGCTTCTTTTATGTACACATAACCATGCCATCATCTTCCATCTCTTCCCTGACTTTTGGAGTCAAGATTTCATTTTCTCTTAATTGACCTTCATCTTAATTAGATTTCTGAAAGTCCAATCATGGTGTACATAGAAAATATTTATGCTTCCATTGTGTGAAACATCAAAGTGGTCTGGACTGCAGATGGTTCCCAAGATCAAAGCTAGCCGCCTGGGTTCTATTATCATTAGTGCAATTAGTCTGACATTGCTTCTTCTTGACTGTCCCCAAAGTGTAATTTAAAGCGGAAGAAAATACTTAGAATTTTCAAGAAAATACTTTTATCAAAATGTGAGGTTTTGTTAGTGATGAGTGAACCACAGAAGAATATGGACAGATCTTGAGATTCTAAAAAGATACTTCATAACAAATTATATGGAAAACTATAATGAGTTTAGTCACAGATCCAGTATGTTCTAACAAGCAGGACCTAGCATGTGCCTGACTTTATAAAAATTGCTCAGTAAACGTGTATTGAATGAGTAGGTGAAAAACTCCCAAATTCTGTCCTCCTAACATTTCTCCAAATTTTGTAAATATGGTCACAAATCTGGAAAAATATTTTATCAATTTCCTTTGGCATCATCTTTTTACCAAAACCTCATAAGCTGTGGTTATATATTAAAACCAATCAACACAGTTGTCCCATTGAAACAAATTCATCCAACTTAAATATAGTTGTATTAAGTAGATGAAGTCTCTCTGATTGAATTGTGGAGCCAAGCCTGCCTAGCAACACTCTTGCATACAGAGAAATGCCCAGGAATCATCTGTGTCACTTTACCTAATCCTGCTGGCCATGAAATCCGTTATTTAAACTGATTCTGCTTCCTTTTCAAAACACAGGCTTTGGAATTAGGTCGGGGATCAAGAGGGTTAAGATAACTTCTGGCCAAATAGATTATTGTAATGAATAGAACCTGAGTACCATCACAAGAAAAGAACTCAGGGCTGCTAACTTTCTCCCACCAGCATTTCATTGACTCATTTACTCAGTTGCCAACAGATGTCTGTTGCAAAGCGCTGAGAGACTAGAGCAGCAAAGAAGAGAGACGTAACAGTCTCTTCTGTTGAGCTCACAAACTGGATTCTATGGTCTCTCCTTTTTACTTCTTTTGCATAGCACTTCCCTGAAGTAGGCATACAGCATTACACATAGCCATTTTTACATGCAAAATCTATTTTCTAAGTGGTAGGAGGTCCTGGAATTTACAGAAAGCTAAAATGTTTGCTCAAAATCTCTTCAATTAAATAAGCTTAGTATAATTTAGACAAAAGACAGGACTTCTGGCTTTCTGTATCTTACCCACAATGTAGCTGTTAATTTCTTTCAGATACCAGTCCTAGAACAGTCTGTTCTTTCATTGCAGGTTCTAGGTGCAGTTCCTCAGTTTCGGTTCTCACAGTGCATTTAACTACTTTTTTTTTTTTTTTTTTTTTGTGAGATGGAGTTTTGCTCTTATTGCCCAGGCTGGAGTGCAGTGGCACAATCTCAGCTTACTGCAACCTCCGCCTCCCAGGTTCAAGCAATTCTCCTGCCTCAGCTTCCCAAGTAGCTGGGATCACAGGCATGTGCCACCAAACCCAGCTAATTTTGTATTTTTAGTAGAGACAGGGTTTCTCCATGTTGGTCAGGCTGGTCTCAAACTCCCAACCTCAGGTGATCCGCCCACCTCGGCCACACAAAATTTGTCTCATCCTACTGCCCAGTATACGTAGAATAATATCTAGCACCTAGTAAATGCTTAACAAATACAGACTATTAATTTTATCTGGACTCTTTCAATACTGGATTCTGCCTATTCCTGGAGAAATTCTTCTCAAAAGTTACTCCCAGCTCTCAAGCCTGTCCCGACCCCATTGACCAGCTAATGTTCCCACCTTCCACTTTCCCACAGGTCTCTCTCCAGACAGGTTCACATTGTCACTCTTCACAACTCCTTTTCCCCTTTGTCTCTTTGAATTCAGTTCTGCCTCCACCTTGGTGTCCAGAGCTAATCAATCCAACCAACACCCAAGCCGGGGCACTTGTGGAGCTGATATTTCTAAATGTAAGCTTGCCTTGCATCTGACAGCCATTTATTTAGAGAAAGAGGTTGCCTTAGAATACACAATTGGGACTGGAGACACCTGTTGCCTCTAGATAATGTATATGTATTTTAACTGGAATCTTCAGTGATTTGAATCAAAAATCACCTAATGAGAAAACATTAGGAAAACAACTTGGCTGTCTGTTTTTGAAACAGGGTCTTGCCTATCACCCAGGCTGGATTGCAGTGGCCTGATCTCGGCTAACTGCAACCACTGCGTCCCAGCTTCAAGCAATTCTCATACCTCAGCCTCCCAGTTAGCTAGGATTACAGGCACATGCCACCACAAGTAACTAATTTTTGTATTTTTTAGTAGAGACATGGCTTTACCGTGTTGTTGGCCAGGCTGGTCTCAAACCCCTGACCTCAAGTAATGTGCCTGCGTTAGCCAGGAAAATACCCATTTAATATGGAGCCAGACTGGCCAACTTCTCTGGGTACTCATAGCTACACCTATTCAGTCTCCATGCTCACCTTCAGTATATTCTTGCCTTTGGGAAGGTAATGGTAAAGACATATCCTAATATTTATAAATCTATTATGAGGTCTTCAGAGGAAATACTCAGTAACAATCCAGAGTATTATCATGTTTTATCATAATTTTGCAATATGGACAAGAACCATAATTTTCTGAGTACCTTCAGAGTACCAACGCTTGCTTAGAGGTTTCATGTCAATTCACTGTCGTTATCACACAAACTGTGGCCAGCTATATCAATCCATTCTCACACTGGTATAAAGAACTGCCTGAGACTGGATAATTTAGAAAGGAAAGAGGTTTAGTTGACTCACAGTTTCACATGGCTGGGG